TCTAACGAGAGAATTCGCCAGAAAGAGGTATTCAGTCAGTGAGCAAGTGAACAAAACACCGGCATTTTAGCGATGACTCATCGGAATACCTCTGATTGGCCACTGCATTCATAAGCTCAACAGCATGGTGTGTGATTGGTTAATGTGCAGTGCTGTAAAAACGCGTCTGTATCTGGCTCAGCGCCAGCCAGCGAACGCAGATTTGAATTTAGCAGCTGATGATATGACGCGCTGAACGATTTAATCACGCTGGTGTGATTGTATCTAATATACAAAATATTATTCTGCTATTTTTTGTCTTTTGGAAGCTGCATTCAAAATCCACTTGGCTCAAAAATCTGAGGGGGCACGTACCCCCTCATGTTGAATGGGCATGACGCCTCTGGGTTCAACCGTAATTTTATGAAGCTACGAGAATACTTTCTGTGTGCAAAGAAAAACGTAACGTAACAATTTCTTCTCCATGTCAGTCTTCACGACAGTACTGCATGTTTTCTCCTTTCTTTATCTCTTTATGCAATACACAATATGTAGAGGCATTATGCTAGTTTCTTTCCAGCTAGATGGGTGTTTACCTGATTCTGTCATCTGTGAATTGTGCATCCAGTGTCCCACATTATAGCAGACATAGGGGGCATGATGCATGTTCAGGACCACCAGGTGCCTAGTGACTGCTGTAGCAGTTAACCTAGATGCACACACATGGGGCTGCTTGTAGCACAGAACTGGGCTACTTTTCAAAGCGTTTTTCATTCTTTGTGCTCTCAAGCAAGGCTTTCAGACTGTCTCCAGAGGCTGTTCTCAAGCCCATCGCATTGTCTGTTTTTGTTCAGCTGGACAGCTGTTTACATTGATCTGCCATTTTCCATCTAATGCGCAGGGCACATACATATATACACGTGCATAATATATACACATGCATACATGGGTCGAGCTTCATTCTGCTGACATTTTCTCTGCGGGCTTTTCAGCGGTCTCTAAAATATTCATGTGAAGTTGCAAGCTCAATAGAGCCTTTTGTTCTACATCATGACTGACATCTACACCTGAGGCAGACAAGGACTCGTTGCCGATGATCTGAAGTGCTCTGGGACATTCCGAAGGTACCATCAGAAGAGAACAACAGAGATTTTTTTTAGTGATTGAAAAGAGGTTGAAGACAGCTTCTTTTCCTCAGAGACAGTTGATGTTGAATAATGCTCTTTGCATGGAGATGGAGTAATACCTGAAAGTTGTTTTCCCAGGCCATTCCAGTAGTGAAATTTCATGTAAGGTTATCTCTTTCTGTCTCTCCATCCAATTGATTAATTTTTTGCCTGAATGATGAGAGTTGTTGTGGAGTGTTGGTCCAGATCGATTTCTTTTTCTTGTAACATGAGCCTGTTTGAACTGTGTGCTACAAGTTTACTCATGCATGGATGAAGGCAACCATGGCTTAATAAAATGATATTTCTCTCTCTCTTCTCATCTATATCTCTGTTTTTCTCTGTTCCAGTTTAAGCTGGTAGCTTTGGAATATGGTTGCTGGTTTCCAGGTGATCCAAGTTGGTCAGTAAAGGAATAGTTCACCCAAAAATGATCACCCTCAGGTGATCTAAGATGTAGACTTTTTTTTTTATTATTGGAACAGATTTAGAGAAATTAGCATTACATCACTCGCTCACCAATGGATCCTTTGCAGTGAATGGGTGCCGTCAGAATGAGAGTCGAAACAGATAATAAAAACATCACAATAATCCACAAGTAATCCAAATGTCTCCAGTCCATCAATTAATATCTTGTGAAGTAAAAATATGCATGTTTTAATAAATAAATCCATCAAGATGCTTTTAACTTTAAAGTGCTTCCAGCTCCTGTCCGTACTATTGCTTACTCCAGGCAAAAATTGTCTCATCTGAATCAGGAGAGAAATATGCATAGATAAAGCACTGTTTACAAGCAACATAGTCCAAAACGATTCTAAACAAATATGTTGGTGTATTTTGATGTAGACAACAGGGGATGAACTTTTTTTATTGAAGATTAATTGCGTTAATATTGATGGACTGGTGTTTTGGACAGAAGCAACACTTTACCATTAAAACACCTTAACGATGGCTTTGTTTCACACAGTTTTGCACTTCATAAGACAAAAATGATTGACCAGAGTTCCATGAAATGAATAACTTGTGGATTATTGTGATGTTTTTTACTGGTTGTTTGGACTCTCATGTTCATGAACTATAACTGGTCCTGGCCTTTAGTTGGTCCAAGCTGGTCATTGGATGGTTGACCAGTCAGCATGTTCAAAAAACCATCTGGTTTGTTTCAGATCCAAACTGTTCAACTAGCTTGGACCAGCCAGTGCCCAGCGTGGTCCAGTTTGGACCAGCAGAAACCAGCTACCATGTTCCAAATCAAAACTACAGCTTAAGAGGGTTATTTTTTCTCCTGATCACTTTTGTCTTGATTTATCTCTTATTCTTTGTATCTTTCACTCTTTCCCAGGCTTTCCCAAGTGGGCCAAGTTGTTATTTGCACGTCTTGGGTGCAGAAGAGGAGGGGTTTGCTTAAGGGGGAGAGAAATCTCTCCAGCACTGAAAAAACTGCAAGGCAGGCTAAAACATTGATTGGTTCTCAGGCTGTTGCCATGGTGGCAGGTCGCTCTCCTCATCTCAGCCAAATGGTGTATAACTTGTAGCATCCCAGATTTACACTGTTGTTATGACAACAGACAGGAAGTGAGGTGTTATCACAGTTATATAAAGGCTTTCTTTTCTATAACATTTCTTGTGCCAAGAAAACATTAATTTGCGCTGGAGAATCTTTCATAACACAAGAGGCTTCCGATAATAATGTCTAGCCTTATTGCCAGTTGAGGTTACCCCTAGCATTCTGTCACAGAGCTGAAGAGCTATATTGTTCTGAAACATGCATCATGATGTAAATAAATAGAAGTGGTGTTGCTGGAAATGGTGCTTTTATGTTGATGTATTAAAAGCTCTGCCTGGTTTTTCAGTTCAGCTTTTTAGACACTGATGAAAACATTTTTGTCTCGGTTCATTAATGAAGCGTATTTGTTAGTGTCAGTTTCACAGTAAATGCCAAAGGGCAAGTTAAAGTGTATGTCAGATTTCTGAGATATTTTAGTTTGAATTAGACTAATGAATACCCCAGAGTCCCAAGTCAAAGTTGGATATAGACCTATGTAGGGGCTTAATGGAGGCATCATTTTTTGCTCCTTGCTTTCAACAGATTTTTAAGTTGGATAATGTCATTTCAGGCCAAATCAAAGCCAGAATAGAGAGAGATTAGGCATTCCTCTGAGAGTAGCGGAGAGGATATTTGTAATTTTTCCATCAACATTATTCATTTTATTCAAATATATATATATATATATATACTGTATATATATATATATTTATAGCTTTCCAATATAGTTGGGTGCATTTTGGAATGGCAATATAATACCTGATGTCTGAATCGCAAAGGTTGTCTCAATTGTAGAGGGAACCAACATATAAATCAACCTTTGCTATTCAGAAGTCAGGCATTATATTACCATCCCAAATGGCACCAAACCCTACTGGAATGAAAAAGGTTATATTTTCAGATAAATTGATATAAAATAATGCCTCATGTCTGAATAGCAGAGGGAACCAACATATACATTAATGGAGCAGTCTTTCCCCCTTCATCCATATTGTGCAATGGACCATTTTTGGTGTGATGGAGGCTTTTGTTGTGGTATATTTTTTTAAAGCAAGCAAAATCCCTCATTGGCAAAGAGATGTAGTCTTTTGTGTTTGGATGTTTTAAATGTAGGAGGAATTCTGTAAAAAAAATCTAATTCATATTTTGCTAAACAATATAGGTTTTCTGTTCTGTCCTTTGGGCTTGTGCATTAACAAATGCTCACTATGCTTCTTTGAAGTACACACTTACAAATATTGACTTTTCAATAAGGCAAATATGCTCAGTATGATGCACTTAAAAACAATTAAAGCACTGCTGACGACCACGCAGTGCACAAATCACTGACACAGTATACAGAACTGTTCGGTTTTAAATCAGAATTATAATACTTATAAATGTTTATTTTGTTTACTAAGGCAGTTTGACTAAGCCTTTGAGGGCTCTTCTATGACAGAGTGTTGACTTAGAGGATAGTTCACCCAAAAATACAAATTCTGCCATTAATTACTCACCCTCATATCATTCCAAACCCGTAAGACTTTCGTTCACCTTCAGAACACAAATTAAGATATTTTTTGATGAAAGCCGAGAGCTTTCTGACCCTGCATAGACAGCAACGCAACTGACACGTTCAAGGCTCAGAAAGGTAGTAAGGACATGGTTCATGGTCAAAGGACAAGGCTCATGTCGTGAACGTGCGTTGAAGACTGACACAGAAGAGAAGAAATTGTTGAATGAAGTCTTTATTTTTGTTTTCTTTGCACACAATAAGTATTTCGTAGTTTCATAAAATTACGGTTGGACCAATGATGCCACATGGACTGTTTTAACAATGTTCTTACCTTTCTGGGCCTTGAACATTTCAGTTGCATTGCTGTCTGTGCAGGCTCAGAAAGCTCTCATATTTCATAAAAAATATCTTAATTTGTGTTCCGAAGATGAACGAAAGTCTCACACTTTTGGAACAACATGAGGGTGAGTAATTAATGACAGAATATTCATTTTTGAGTGAACTAACCCTTTAAAGGTTATTTATCGCTATGTGACTGACATCACACATTTTCAGTTTTTAAAAAGTCAGGTAATGGCACTATATATTTTGAAGAGTGAGAAGATTATAAGACTAAATGAAGAGAAAATATGACTTGACCTAAGAGTTTAATAGAGTCAGACAGCAGCTTGGCTTTAAACTGTCTGATGTTGTCACAAAGAGAATTTTTAAATGTGATCTGGCTATAACATGTTTATTTTGACAGGTAGAGTCAAACTGTCTCTGACGCTCATGAGTTAATATCTGCACATCTTCTTCTCATCTCTTTGAACAGGTAAATTGTTGTGGATGGGAACCTTCTCTGCACCCTCTACCTTCCACATGACCCCACTCTCCCTGTTTCATCGGCTCCCGTGAAGATACGTAACACTCTCTAATACTCACTGACAGCATGGCGTCCACTGCCCAGATTCTGGCCTTTAAGCTCTCCCCGCCCTCTCAGGATGGGAGTCCAGAGCGTCTGTTCAACTGTGATGAGGACATTGAACGGCGCTATGAGGTGGTCCCGTCTGTCGTCTGCTCCATGTGTTGCCTGTTTGGCATCATCTACTGCTTCTTCGGTAGGTTGCGAAGGATGAATGATTTTATTTAGAAAACTGAGATGTGTCTGGTTTGGAGAAATGTAGATTTACGTAAGAAGTATTACTCAGAACAAGCCCAAATTGTGGCATGCCCTGAATGCATGGGTTATGTTTTTGTCTCATTATCACAAACATTTTTTCAGCTGTGGTTGTTTATGGCCAAATTGAATTCACCTAATAACCATCTGAATGTGACAACCAGACAAGGGTGACAAATCTATGTCCCTTTCTATTAGATAAGCTGTATCACTTTCACTTGACTGTGAAATTTGCTTTCACTGCCCATTA